CCTAGAGGTGATCATGGAAGAAGTAATTTCTTGGGTACTGACTTTACCAAGATGATTCCAAGCGCTTTATAAGCATAATTTCCTATAATCTTCTGGTCCCCTTGTAAATATCAGTACTTTTTGTCATTGTTGTGTAGATGAGAAACGGTCTGAAGTTACCTGCCCAGGTTCGCCAGGCGCATGACTGGGGGATCCCAAACCTGCCCCAGCCCTCGCACTCCTTGTTAGCCACTAGGCTCTGCGCCTCCTTAAGTGTTTAGTTTTTTCAAAAAATGGTTTTCTTGCCCTTCACTAAATATAAGGAAACCGAGGCAAGAGTCCCTGGCTCCCAAGGCAGGCCTGGCTGCCTCCCCCATCTCGGTGAGCTGGGCCAGGTGGATGTAGCCTGAGGCTTTTGTGGGCGTGGCCTCTCACCTTCCCAGTCTCAGCCCCTCCCAGACACACAGCAGGTTCAGGGTGGCAGCCACATGGGACCCCCCCCCCCCCCACCATGGTAGTCAGGGGGCCATCGTCATGGCCATCAGTCCCAGTGAGGAGACCAAGCTGCAGGTGTTCGTCTGAAGCCACTTCGTCTTCAGCCTGGGCTTTGTTGTTAGTGGCCACCACAAGGACTTTGCTGGGGACGTGGCGGCCTCCATAGCATTCACCAGTGACCTGAATGGTGAGCAGTTGCGCAGTGCAGCGGACCTGGAGGGTCTGTACACGCTGGTCATGGTGGAGATGGATGATTGCGGCTTTTGGGTCAGGTTCCCTTCATCCCTGGCATCCTGGAGTGGGACCAGGAGCAGAGTGTCATCTGTAGCTTCACTGACCTTGCAAGACAGTGGTGTGGCCCCTGTGGTGCCTGGAGCTGCTGGAGCACGAGTTAGCTGCTCAAGACTTTGTGACTCTGTGTGCTCAACCGCTATGATGAGGCGGAGCTCTTCTAGGTGAAGGCAAAGGCGTCACTGGCAATGACAGGTGCCACTGTGTTCTCTACCTGCTGAGCCCCCTCCCCCTGACCTCAGCTTCCTTACTGTACTCCCAAGGAGCTGCTGGAGGGGTGCTCCCATGCCACCTTCTGCACCTACAGGCACAGCTTCTGTTGCTTGTGCCAGGAGCTGGGGGATGCCTTCGTGGAACACAGGTGAGGAGCAGCCCTGTGAGGTTGGAGCTGCAGCTGCTGCACCCTGTTGGGGGCACGGGCACCCTGGGTGGTTCTGGGGCTGTATCATTGAGGAGAGAAGCTCTGCACCATGAAGCAGGGCTCCCTCTGGCCACACTAACTAGAGCCCCTTCCCCATCCCCGACCCGCCCTGCCTTTGAGTCGGTTGCAAACTATCGAGCAGTCAAACCAGTGGCCCAGCTGAGCTATGCTGTTCTCCTTAGGAGCATTTGGAAGTTGCTGGGTGGTTGTGAAGGTCACAGTCCCCAAGTGTTGCTGCTGCTGCTGTTTCGCGCTTAGGAGTTGACCATGTTAAATGTCCTACAGACAAGTAGCTCTTTTTCAGAAGCCAGAGGCATTCCTGTCTCTGTTGAGAGTCCTGGCCTGATGGGTCCCCCCTATCTGTCACCTCCCTACTCTGGCTGTCTTATTCCTTTCTGGAGAGATCTGGCAGCCACCACCTTGTTTGGGTCTGTGGGAGCAAAGCTGAGTTCTGGTCGGCCTTGCAGCAGGAGAAGGAAGCTGACAGCATCTATTAGGCCCAGGTGGGCTGTGCCAGGGCTGGTGGGCTGAACTGCACCTGTGGGCAGCTGATCTTTTCCTGCCTCTGCTCTCTCCCCTGTTTTTGTGTGAGAACCTCAAGGACTTGGCCCAGGAGGCCATGGCCCAGCAGGGCACCGTGAATGGAATCTACCTGTCGGCTGCAATGCCAGCGTCCTGCTCCTCCAGGTGTGTCCTTGGGTGGAGCCCAGCTCCCACCCAGCCCAACTAGGATGAGCCTCACTCAGCTCATCCCCACAGCCCCTCGGTTCACAGCTCCCAACATGGTCAGCATCTTACAGCAGCTCCAGGTCATCAGTGACATCCTCCTCATTCCTCTCTGCTGAGGCCCCTCCACAGCTTGCTACTTAGAAGTTAGCCTTTGGATTTTTAAGATATGTAATATGCTGACATAGCCCAAAATTGAAAAGTGCAACCAGTGGTGAGAAGTTCCTTGTGAATGCTTCTAGAAATACCACATGTGATCTTCTCTCCCTTTTTTCCTTTGAAATTGTGGCAGGCCACGGATGAAGGTTATTGTTTACTTCATTTAACAATACTTCTTGATGATCTTCCATTTCAGTTCCTAAGGAGTGGCTTTATTCCTTCCCCAGCTGCCTCTTGCTCCAGTGCAAAGTGTGCCTTAGGAGCAGGCCCTGAGGACTCCTGCGGTGCTGACACAAGCAGTGCTGCCTTTGGGAGGCCCTCACCTCCCGCCTTGTCTTCCCTCATTGTGGGAAAGGGGTTTGGTCAGCCAGGGATGTCAGCAGCCCTGCCCCATACCCATTGTCTATACCTAATCTGGTAGTGGGGATGCCACAGAGTGCAGCGATTGGAACTGGGTGTGAGAGTGAGAGGCAGCCGGGCCCTAGGCTGAGTCACGTGCATGGAATCCTGACTGCCAACAATTAGGGATCTTTTTGCTTTTGGGAGGGAAGCACTTGTTCCACACGTCTCACTGAATATGGCACAGACCCTGTTCTGTCTCAAGTGGGAGTTTAACCAAGCTAGAGGTGGGCTGCGGGCCCTGGCCCAGTCTGTCAACCACCTCCTCTCCTGTCAGAAGACTAGGAGAATCTGAAGACAGAGGTGGTGCAGCACCACCAGTTCCAGGAGTCCATTAAAACAGGGATAGGGCATTCTGGGAGGTCAAGGCGGACGGATCACTTGAGCTCAAGGGTTGGAGACCAGCCCAGGCAGCATGATGAAACCCCATCTACAAAAAAGTGCAAAAATTAGCCTGGTGTGGTGGTGTGACCTGTAGGTGCAGCTACTTCGCAGTCTGAGGTGGGAGGATCGCTTGGAGAGATCCAGGCTGCAGTGAGCCATGACTATGCCACTGCACTGCAGCCTGAGTGATAGAGTGAACCCCTGTCTCAAAATCAAGAAAACAGAGCTAGGGCTGAGGAGCCTATGGCCATTGAGGCTGAGTCAGCTGGCCCAGAGGTGGGTCCTGTGGCTGCCAAGGAACCTTCTCCCTCGAGCTTGCAGGGGTCAAGAGGGAGAGACAGAGGGACAGTCAGCGGCCCTGTTATCGGTGATGCAGACTCCAGGAGAAGGGGGCAGGCTTGCAGATCAGAAGAGGAGGCGAGCCCCTCTTCCATGTTGCACCCCTACCATCCTCCTGGGATGCCAGCTTGCATGCCCTCCTAAACGATGCTTTTGCACTGGTTTAGTGAATATGCAATGCAAAGGCCTAATTGAAGACTGGTGAATGGAGTGTACAGTCTTCAGTTCCTAGCCGAGGGACCCCTTGGGCTCCTCATCTTTCCCTCAGGCTCCCCATATTTCCCTCAGCCTCCCCATCTTCCAGCAGGGATGTGGAGGGCGTGAGTATTGATCTGTCCTTCCCAGTCTGTACATTGCCCTGAGACAGTTGAGTGGATGACGTGCAGATGGGATTTCTCAGCTCATCTGCATGGTTGACATTATGGCTGCTGCTTTTACTGCCACAACTCCCAGGCCCAACCTGGCTTAATGTTTTACGTCGTAAGCCGAAAAAGATGGGGAGCCGGGGCCCTGTGGCAGGGCTGGGGTTTGGGGTGCACTTTAGTTTTGTGGCAGGATGAAGTCTGCAGTAGTTTTATTAATCATGATTGGCCTGGCAGTAGCTGTAGGCCAAGGGGGATGGGTTTGTCAGTGGTGGTCCCCTAGATGTCCCTGTGCCCAGCCCTGGCCTGTTTGCCCTCAGGCCTAACGAGGTGCTGCCACAGGCTCTGACTGCCCCCCCCCCGCACCCCAGATGGACATAACTTTGGGGTCTGCAGTTTGAATATATCATTCTCCCCATTTTAACCTGAGCTGCCTGACACAGGGAGGGTGGGGTGGGTAAGGGATCTGGGGAACCAGGGCCCAATCACGGATCCTGGGGAAAGGTTACAGACACAGGAGGGGTTGTCACCTCTCTGTGGAGCCCCGCTCCTGGCCACACAGCACCTTCTGTAGAGACTAGCTCTGGGGGTGGCAGGGGACCCCACAGGCCAGGACTGCACCCTCTCTTCCCCTGTCTGTGCCTGCTATTGGAGCCTGGACTGGGGGAGGAGATTACTACCCTGTGAGCCTGAGGGAGCCACATTAGGCTGTGACCTCTGCCTGGGGCTTGGCAGAGAGCTGCTTATGGCTGTAGTGTCACCAGACACCTTGTTTCAGAGGGGGTGGACATAGCTGGCAAGTGGAGCACCCCCACAGCTGATGAGGAACTTTTTCTCATTTTTGAACCACCATGTCTTCATTTCACATTGGAATAAAGTGAGGTTTTGGAACCTGCTGTCCCAGTCTCATTGGATTGTGAGGGCTGTTGTCAGGTTACTAGGAGAGGAATCTGTATAAATTAGGACACACTGAAGGTTATGCTTGTACTGTCACCTGAGTGGGAGGTAAGAGGATGGAGTCACAGGCACTCAGTTGGGGTTTACCTGGCTGTCACTAGACTCATGGGATTGTGGCACAGGTGAACATCCCATCATTGGTGACAGAAGAAAAAAGGCTGGAGTGAAGGCCAGGTTGGGGAGGGGTGCTAGGCTGTGGGGCCAGGCCCTGGGCTTGCTGGACATTTTTTTTTTTTTTTTTTTTTTTTTTTTTTAGGCAGAATCTCACTTCATCACCAGGCGCCAGGCTGGAGTGCAGTGGCGCGGCCTCGGCTCACTGCAACCTCCGCCTCCTGGGTTCAAGCAATTCTCTTTCCTCAGCCTCCCGAGTAGCTGGGATTGCAGGCGCCCACCACCGCGCCCAGCTAATTTTTGTATTTTTAGTAGAGACGGGGTTTCACCATGCTGGCCAGGATGGTCTCAATCTCTTGACCTCGTGATCCCAAAGTGCTGGGATTATAGGCGTGAGCCACCGCGCCCGGCCCACATGCTGGACCTTATACGTCAGTGAACATCTGACTGGGCATGTGCCCCTGTCCCTTCAGTTGAGGTGGGGTTGGCAGCATTCCCTAGATGGCATGAGTGCCGGGAGAGTGGAGGAGGACCTGACGTTTGCCATTCTGGGGTAGGTTTTAGAGCTCACTAGATGCCTGTAGAGCGCTAATGAGATGGGAAGAAGTCAGCCCACCATAATGTACCTGAGGGACAGAGCCTGCGAAGTAAGAAGTGGGTGTGTGGAGGTGCCCTGTCTACAAGAGGGTAAATTAAAGGCTCATTGCAGTGGCGCTGTCTCATCTCACTGCGGCTGGTGGCTGTTGCCACGCCATCCCTCTCCAGAGCAGGAAGGCCGTCAGCCTCATCTATAATTGAATGTCTTTTGGGATGTTTGGATAGTCCTTTATTGCCTGGAAATTCAGAAAAAAGAAACTACAATCCTCATGCCTGTTAGTTTCCCTGAGCCAAGTGGAAAAAAAGATGTCCCTGACTTTTTTAAGATTTTAAGTGACACCCAAGGGAAACCACCAGTGCCTTGGCCATTGAAGCCTCCTGCATGCTCCCCAAACCCCAGCAGTTCCATCTGCAGTCTTCACAGTTGTGTCCTGAGCCGTGCGGTAAAGTGTGGTGAGAGAGGTGCTAAGGGATGGGATGTGGGTCTTTCCTGTGTTATTAAAACATTAAAGTTGTTTTAAAGCTGTCCAAATCCCCTCCTTGTTAAGCTTAATTAGCTAATAAGACTCTTTATACAAGCAAAACCAGGTAAGGGAAAGCAAGTGCATTTCAAGCCCTAGCACACTCCCAAATTAGCTGTAATACCCACGGCAGGCGACCGCACCTCAAAGAGCCTGTGTCCTGTTCAAAAAAAGATGAACTAATGAGGGGCGGGGCACGGAGCTTTACCCAACCAGGGGCGCTGGGGTGGAGGTCGTCCAATCAGGAGCAGCCTGAGAGCAGGGGCGGCTTCCGGTATCTGGCTGGGGCCTTTGTTGGCTGCAGTCAGATCTTGGGTCGCCTCACCCTGGTTCCGAGTCCTTCGATCCGGGAGACCCAGGAGGCTTCGCGGTGTGAGAATAAACAGATCCTCTGTTACCCTGTGAGCTGCAGGCACCTGGAGATCCATAGCTAAGACGCCAGGACTTCCCGGAAACTGGGAAATGGTGAATGTGCCGCGTCGGGTATCCGCAGAGGAGGTAGCTGGGCGGTCGGAAGCGGCGGGAACCCGCTATGGGGGCACCGGGCCTTCCCGCCGTCAGCTCGAGTCCCCGCGGGCGCAACTCGGCCCTCGGTCCCCTCCGCTGCACGGTGGCTACTGGGCCAGCAGCCGGGACCCCGAGCGTCCCGTCCCAACCCCGCGGGGCAACCCCGGCCCTGGCCGGAGCGGTCTCCGGGCAGCTCCGCGCTGCAGCCCCGCGTCTCCCCAGATTGTGCCGTGAGGACTGAAGGGTTGTAGGGGAGACCCCGGTGCGGGTGTGATTCGTGTGTGGGAAGAAACTGTGCCCCGTGGGGTCCCTAGTCGCTCCTTTTACAAATTATAGAGAGTCACCCTTGAGGCGTTAAAGGGTGTGTTTGGGCAAACAGCGATTGGTGAAATGGGAAGCCTGCCACCGTGGTTTGCGGTTTGGGGTCCTCTGTAGCAGCGATTTCAAAATCCCAGGGCTTAGCTTTTGAATGCTGCCAGCGAAAAGGAATAGGGACAATCTCTCTTCCACTATGGCTGTAGAAAACGAATACATTTCCACAGAAAGTGCGCTGGATTAATTGGCCGATTACAAACATTCATTAGAACATCAGGTCCTCTCTTTCGCAGAGTGGAGGAATTGTGGCAGTGGATACCTGTGCTCCATATTCTGCAGCTATCTGGATGTCGAGTTTAATGGCAAATTTTGTGAGACAGGACTTAGCAACCCCTAGAAGTGTTCACGTATACTAAATGGTCTGCTGTTATGGAAGTAATTAAATGACATGTTTATTGTCTGAAAGAGGTATTTCAGCTTTTCCTGTTGAGGCGTAAAGTGTAAGTGCAGTACAGTTTCCTTCCTTTCTATAGAAACTGTGTTTGAGTGATTTTACTATTTTCCTGTTAGGTCATTGAACATCTGACTGCTGGGCACCTGCCCTGTCCCTTCAGTTGACGTGGGATTGGCAGCACTCTCCAGAAGGTGTGCAGTGCCCGGAAAGTGTAGGAGGGCCTGACGTTTGCTATCCTGGGGTAGGTTTTAGAGCTCACTAGATGCTTGAGGAGAGCTAAAGAGATGGAAGAAGGCAGCCCACCTCCATGCACCCGAGGGACAGAGCCCGCGAAGGGAGAAGCGGGTACGTGGAATAACCCTGACTGGGAAGCTGTAGACCTCAGTCTTCTTTGAGCCTGCAAAAGGAGGTCACTGAGGCCCAGTTAGTTCCTCCTAGGGAGTGTCCCCTTCAGGTGTCCCTGAGGTTCACAGCAGCCATGGAGAGAGCCCTTTGTACTGGGAGAAGCTGCAGAGTTTTGGAAAGCAGGGGATTTGCAGGCAGATGTGGTTGAGATTGGGCTGGAAGGGAGGTTGGGAGGCTCTTTCTGAGGGTGGAATTGTTAGTGTCCTGGGGCTGTTTCTTGACTTCGTCAAATAAAGCATCTGGATTTAGGTAAGAAGTTCCTTAATTCTAAAGGAGTATTGCATGAGGAGGAAAGCACCAACTGTAAGATTTTTGTGGATCTCACAGTTTAGGCAGAAAAGACCTTTCTTTCATAGAGAGGAACAAATATGATTAAAGTTGGGAGGGGAAGGGCACAACTCTGGAGCAAAATCCGATCTCAGGTCAGAGAATGTTTCACCCTAAGTCAGCCTGTTCTTAGGAGGGGCATAAAGAGGGGTTGACTGTTGGCTCAGGCTGTGCGTGGGACAAAGTTCAGGGACCTGGCGAAAGAGAGAAACTTAAGCAAGTTTGGTTAACACATATTTTATTCTGACCACCAAAGACAAAACTCTTTAATTGCTTATGAGGGGGAAAAAAGAGGAAATAGAGTCTGTGGCTTTGTGATACCTAAAACAGGGAACATCATTTAAGTCATAAAGGGAAGAGTGATTCTTTGCAGTAAGCTGCCCTTGGAGAACACAAAGGAAGGGGAATTTCTTTCCTCACAGCTGCTTACCAGAGCTACCCGTCCACCCCATCTTTCCCCATCGCTTTCTCTTGCCCATACATGTCTTCCATTTGGCTGAGTTGTATCTTTTATAATAAACTGGCCAATGCAATTACAGTCTGAGTTCTGTGAGTCCTTGTATAAAATGAATGAACTTGAGTGGGGGATTATGGGAGGCCCCAATTTATAGGCAGTAGCTCTGAAGTATAGATGGATCCTGGGGATTGTGACTGGCATCTGTAGTGGGGGCAGTGTCGTTGCACTGAACTCTGACCTTGTGGGGTCTGTGCTGCCTCTGGGGGTGTCAGAATTGAGTTGTTGGACAACCAGTTGGTGTTGGGGAATTGGCTGGTGTTCAGCAAACTCTGCACATTTAGTGTCAGAAAAAAGACAACACAGGGACCCACGCTGGAGAGAGACTCTGGGTGTCTCCAGAAGGGAGGCTCTATTCCCCTGCACACAGGCTGTCACCCTACACAGAGTCCTGTGATTCCATGGCTCCTCCCAGGGAGAGGCAACTGAGAACAGAAAGGGAAGAAGTTCTGAGAACAGAGCCCTGCCCCCACTGTGCTGCCACCACATAATTCCATCCACTCCTGAACACATGCCCCTTCCAGGACAAGACATGACCCTCAGGAAATTGTGCCCATAGCACCTGTGCTCCTAGAGTTTCCTGCCCAAATTCCCACACAAGTGCCTAGAGCACTTCTGGCTTATGGTTGCTCCCAGACCCTGAAACTGGAGGAGCAACCCACACTCAGTCCCTCCATCAACCAAGGCTTCTGGACCACCCAGTCATAATCTCTGCCTGCATGGACACAGGAATAAGTCAGAGCATTGCACCACCTGGGCCAGTATCTGTGGCACAAACCAGTCCTTCCACCAATTCTGCACTGCCTGCCATGCGTGAGTTCTTAGTAGCACCTTCCCTTCTGCCTTTTACTTCCCCACAAACCTTGACAGGGTGTCACTCTGTCCCCCAGGCTGGAGTGCAGTGGCCTGATCATGCAGCCTCAACCTCCCCAGGCTCATGTGATCCTCCCACCTCAGCCTCCTGAATCGCTGTGACTACAGGTGTGTGCTCCCACACCTGGCTAATTTTTGTAGAGACCAGGGTCTCACTATGTTGCTCAGGCTCATCACGAACTCCTGGGCTCAAGTGATCCACCCGCCTCTGCCTCCCAAAGTGCTGGGATTACAGGTGTGAGCCACCATATCTGACCCACAAACCCCTTTTCAGGTGCACACAGTGTGTCCAAGGCCAACCCTCAGGTGCCTGAATCTAGCGCCTGCTAGAATTCACATGTCCATGAATTCAAGATTAGGCCCCTAGATCTCCCAGTTTTAAGAACAAAGACAAATTAGAAATATGAGATTAACCCTTGAAAATAAGGGAAGACATGTTTCTCTCCTTCCTTTTCTTGAAGCATTTACTTTAGAAAATTTTTATATGTAAGTTTTAGAAATACTTCTAAATCATTCTAACAGCTAAACAGACCTTTTGTCTTTTGTTGGCCTTTTTTTTGAGTCTTTCTGTGTTGCCCAGCCTGGAGTGCAGTGGTATCATCTCGGCTCACTGCAACCTCCACCTCCCAGGTTCAAGCGGTTCTCCTGCCTCAGCCTCCCAGGTACCTGGGATTATAGGTGCCAGCCACCGTGCTGGGCTAAGTTTTGTATTTTTATCAGACAGGAAGTTTCACCATGTTGTTCAGGCTGGTCTCAAACTCCTGACCCCAGGTGATATGGCCTCCTCAGCCTCCCAAAGTGCTGGGATTACAGGGTGAGCCACTGTGCCAGGCTGCCAGACTGTTTGATGCAGGACATTCTTTCTCTAGGAACTGGGAATCATTGATGTAAGCAGCAAAGAAGGTAGAGCCATATCTCGCAGTGTCTCTAGGAGAGCAGGCATCTACCTTCAGGTTCTTGCTCCAGGTGGCAAATTTACCTGTCACTAAGACATGAAGTTGATTTTTCCTTTAAATATAGCCAATTAAAAAATGGCCTCCCAATTCCTAAGTGAATTTAGCTTGAACTCTGACAAAGGGTGCTGCCTGGTCTTCCACTTGAGTACTAATTATAGTGAATTTTCATGAGTGGGTGTTTTCCAGTTTCTTAGCAGATTGCCTGTAATATCTTTCACATTCTGCTCTGATTGTGTAATAAAACAGTTTTCTTTTTTTCTACCATTGTGGATAGTTTTTCTAGTGATTCTGTATTTATTATATTTCCCCAAACATTATGAAACATAAGATGCCTACCAGGCCTCATGCTAGAGGGGCCTTTCCCTGTAAGACTTCCAGTCACAAACAGAGTTGAGCAGCAAACTGTCCATTGTCCCCCACATCTGCAGACAGAATGGTCTCTCTGCTTGTTTGGAATCTTTAATTCTTTCTACAATGATTCAGACAGATTTCTACAAAAATATTTCTCGGGGCATCATTTAGCTATTCCAGCTCTGTCTTTCCATGCCTCTGGCCTCTTCAGTCTTGAAACTGATTCAGAGACCATTGGCCCTAGAATCCAACCAGGCACACATGTGCATTGAATAGACCTGAGACTCTCAACATTCCCCTCATCCTCTTGCCCAAATGCCCACGAATGTGCAGAGGGTGCCTGCCACTTCCCTGTCCCTCCAGCACCTAAATCTGCAGCTCCAAATATTGGACCCAGCTCCTGGGGTTCTTCAGGATGTGTGAGAGCAGCCCTCCTGAGGGGCTGTCTCTTCGAGTTTTTCTGTCTTCACAGCAACACCCAAGAATGCAGAGCCAGGTTGATTCCACCTGGAGTCTGCACATAAAGGCTGGTCTCCACCTGGGATCCTCAAGACAAATCCTCATGGCCACACTCTGGACCGAGGATGTATAGAAAATCCAGGGGACATTTTCTGCATTATGAGAGATTGCCGTAGACCTTGTAAAGTCCTACATTTTGTGTGGGTTCCTTCAAGTTATCCAGATCTTATCCAGTGAGGTGCTGCAGTTCTTGTGAGGGTCTTCTGGTCTAAGCAGAATCTGGTGACAGAATCTGTGAGTGTAAAGCAACACCTTAGCAGAGGGAGGGCAGGGCCACAACTGTCCAGAGCCATGAATGAAGCTACACCTTCCTGTGAGCTGTGTTACTGGAGTAGGATCATCTTGTCCTCTCTCGTACCCAAGAGTTAGCTCATCAGGTAGGTATAGGTAATATTACACCTGGATCCAGGATCTGTGGCTCCACTGGGGCAGTTCCACTTTCTGTCAGAGTCACCTGAGTCTCTCCTGCCCAAATCACTATTGGGGCATCAGCACGGGATCACCAGGGACTCTTTCACCAATACCTGGGAATCCTTGAGACACATATGGTGATGTCCTGTGCAGGCTGAGTTCAGGCTGACCATAGGATCTAATCTTCCCATCTGAGAGGGAAAGGAATGAGGCATCCAGGATTTGTCCCTCCACTTACAGAAGGAATCTCTTTATTTGGTGTCCAAATGGGCTTTGCTCCAGTTTTCTAATATGTGGGTGAAGAACAGAGAGGAGGTCTGGAGACTCAGACTGACAAGTAAACCAGTTGCTTCCATTTCATGTGTCCATTGGAAAAACAGATGCAGCAGCCATAGTCCCTACCATCCAGCAACTTTCAGTGTAGAGCAGAAGGATAATGGCCAAATTCAGCATCATGTGGTCAGGAGCAAGAATAGACGTGTACAGGGAACTTAGGCTTGATTTGGGACATTGCCATTATGTTCACATTGTGAGTTCTGATGTCACCACCTGAAGGGCTGCCCATGGACAGAAGAGTTATGATTATTTCTATTGATTTTCTCTTAACTTGGTTTTTAATGTAATATTCTCAGAAAGCCCTATGCGTTTTGATTAAATTGCTTGTTAATGTATTTACAAAATAGTTAAGAATGAAACAGTTAAAATCAGAAAAACTCTGGGAGTCAAGTTCTTGTGGTCAGGCTTAGGAAAGACAGGACTGAAAATAAACCAGCAACATAGAGATGGGAAGCCTAGGGCCTGCCCCCTGCCCCTAGCCTTGCTGTGTCCCAGCCCTGCCCAAATCCATCCTCTTCTGAGCTTGGTTCAGGTCTGGTCCCACCGTGGAGCCTACGCTCACAGAACCGTTTGTTGGAGATCAGACTCTGAGTGGTTGCTCTTACTGGTTCTCCAGAGCTGGTGCTCACATTTTCCCCAAACCACAAAGCAGATAAATGGGAACAAAGGACAATATGGGGGCCTGAATTTTTTTTTTTCATTGAAAATAGTGCTTCTAGAGACATCCCACCTGGCAACATTTTTTCCATTCCTTTGGATCCAGTAGTTGCTCCACAAGTTGTAATAAAGTCAACGAAAAGACAGCAGTGAGAAATCCTCATGAACTAAACTTCACCCTTCCTTTCCGTATCCCTCCCGTCCATGTATAGTTAGCTTTTATAGTGACAGGGAAACAGAAGAAGTGGAAAGGCTGGGGCCATGATCTAAATCCTGCTGGGAATTATGGGATACTCAGTACCCACATCCCAGGGGTTTATGTGGCTTAACTCACACCATGTGATGTTCCCAGCACAGTACATACGATGAGCACATAGTACAAGCTCAGAAACACTGCTTTAATGCAGGTATCCATGCTGTTTTCCAAATGCTGACTAAGATGTTACTGTTTTTTCCAGCCTTCTGTAGACTTTAAATGGCTGGCAAAGGATGTGATTTTTCAGGACAGTAGTTGGTGGTCCTCGCTGTGAATGAAAAGTATTTGTATTGTGATTAGAATATCACAGCAGACACACTGTGTGTGCTATGCTCACTTCCTCTAGCTGCGTGCTGTTGATAATGAGTCTTAAAGAAGCCACCTCATGGAACCTTTCCAAACCTGCAGAATCACGTTACTTAGCACAGGCCCTAGAATACCAAATGATGTGTATGCATGTGAAACTTGAGAGACAATGCTTAGCTAAGTAGGTCTCAGCCCAGGCTTCTAAGTAGGGTCACACGGCCAGTTTGAAAAAATATGGCCACCTGTATCTTCCCCCACAGGTTCTGTTTATTAAGTTCAGATTAGGATTTACTTTTTTCCCCTACTAATATCACAGTAGTGATTATTGGTCCATCTGTGAGTCAGCACTGATACCAATTCGACTCATTACAGCTGATGCTAACTTCATTCACGTGGTTCAGGTGCTCTCGGCCAGATTCCTTGACTATTTAGTTATATTTCTCTTTTGTTGTTAATGAGTATCTAGGAGGGAAGATTTACTGAGAGATGCATATAAACCATCTTGTTTAATCCGGAGACTCACATTTTTTTTTTTTTTTTTTTTTTTTTTTTTTTTTTTTTTTTTTTAGTTTCCCTTTGCTTGTAGGTTGTTTTGGAGAGGCTGTCACATTTGTTGACTATAGATCCCAGTTTTTGAAACTGTAAGTTCTGAAACAAGCCTGTTTCTGTAGGTTTCCATTTTATTCTACTCATGTCACAGCATACTCTCCTTATTCTCTGTATTTTCAGAGGAAGATAACAATTAACATGTAATTAACATCTATTGTCTTAAAATTCTAAAATATAACATAGCACATAGAATAAATAAAACAAAAACTCGGGGGGAAAAAAGGAGAATTGCCCGAACCCAGGAGGCGGAGGTTGCGGTGAGCCGAGATCGCGCCATCGCACTCCAGCCTGGGCAACAAGAGCGAAACTCCGTTCAAAAAAAAAAAAAAAAGAAACACAAGCTCTTCTTTTAATTTCTATCATTGTATGCATTGGTCTTCATAGTTTAAGAAACAGAAAAAGGGATCATTCACGAAAAGTTTTATATTTTTAACACGATTTAAAATATTACCTAATTTTATTAAGAAATGTCCTGTCACTTATCAGGTATGTATAGTTACCGTTTCTGTGTACGTGTGTGCGTATGACGTCAGCAGCATTTGATCAGTTTGTGTTGCTGCCTTCCTGCTCTCATCATTCTTCTCTGTTATGACACCTGCTCTGAACATGCTTTTATGGTTGTCTCTGCACGTTGACCTGCATGTCCCTTTAAAATGAATGCTAAGTTAGATACTGGGGTAAAATACAAGTTCTACTATGTACTAGCTATTTGGCAAAAAAGTTTTTTTCAGGCTTGAGTCAGGGAGGGTTGGCAAGATATTTTTATGTAAGAGGAAGAAGACTATTATTTCTCACATAGATTACTTTTATGGCTTTATCAATACATGAAAAACTGCTAGGATGACATCTAGTATATAGTAAATGTTCAAGAAAGATTCTACTACTCCTGCTATTATGTTACATCCTGTAAATTTCATAAAACTCTCAATTCCACAACATCCCTGAATTGTTTCCTCAGTGTTCTACCTCTCTGCTATTCAAAAGTGTGGCCTCTGGACCTGAGGCATTGGTATCACTGGTGAGCTTGTTAAAAATGCAGAAACTCTGGTCATTAGAGAAATGCAAATCAAAACTGCATTGAGATACCATCTCATGCTAGTTAGAATGATGATCATTAAAAAATCTGGAGACAGCAGATGCTGGAGAGGATGTGGAGAAATAGGAACACTTTTACACGTTGGTAGGAGTGTAAATTAGTTCAACCATTGTGGAAGACAGTGTGGTGATTCCTCAAGGACCTAGAAATAGAAATTCCATTTGACCCAGCAATCCCATTACTGGGTATGTATCCAAAGATTATAAATCATTCTACTGTAAGGGCACATGCACACGAATGTTCACTGTTCACTGCAGCACTGTTTACAATAGCAAAGACCTGGAACCAACCCAAATGCCCATTGATGATAGACAGGACAGGGAAATTGTGGCACATATACACCATGGAATACTATGCAGCCATCAAAAACGATGAGTTTGTGTCCTTTGTAGGATCATGGGTGAACCTGGAAACCATCATTCTTGGCAAACTGACACAAGAGCAGAAAACCAAACACCACATATTCTCACTCATAGGCGGGTGTTGAACAATGAGAACACATGGACACAGGGAGGGGAGCATCACACACTGGGGTCTGTCAAGGGGAAATAGGGGAGGGACAGCAGGGGGTGGGGAGTTGGGGAGAGATAGCATGGGGAGAAATGCCAGATATAGGTGATGGGGAGGAAGGCAGCAAATCACACTGCCATGTGTGCACCTATGCAACAATCTTGCATGTTCTTCACATGTACCCCCAAGCCTAAAATGCAATAAAAAGGAAAAAAAAAAGAAAAAAAAATGCAGAAACTCAGTCCCAACCCCAGATCTTCTGAATCAGAGTCTGCATTTGACCAAGTTCTCCAGTTTATTTTTGAATACAATAGACTTTGAGAAGTATGCCTACATGACTTTTCCACCTGAAGATTACACACAACTGATTGTGGATGATGTAAATAAAGCTCTCAAAAATGTATATTCCTGTGTTGAGCCCTTAGTTTTTTGGTTCTTTTGTTTGTTTGTTTTTGTTTTTTGAGACGGAGTTTTGCTCTTGTTGCCCAGGCTGGAGTGCAATGATGCGATCTTGGCTCATTGCAACCTCCACCTCTGGGTTTAAGTGATTCTTCTGCCTCAGCCTTCTGAATAGCTTGGATTATAGGAGCCCGCCGTCATGTCTGGCTAATTTTTTGTATTTTTAGTAGAGACAGGGTTTCATCACGTTGGCCAGGCTGGTCTCAAACTCCTGATGTCAGGTGATCCACCCACCTTGACATCGCATAGTGCTGGGATTATAGGCATGAGCCACCATGCCCAGCCCTGATGCCTTAGTTTTATATTTTATATTCCATATAGGCATAGTATCTACATTGGTTTTGTGGATCTCATGTCATTCTCTTTCCACAGAGTTAGAGAATACATTAGAAAATATTACTGTGTTTAAAAGTATCTTATTATTTCAGGTCACTCATATAAATCAGAGTCAGTTCTCTTAATTCTCTTATTTCCTCTTGGGTCAGTGTATTATTTATTTTTATTTCAGGGACTGTTGACATTCAGGGATGTGGCCATAGAATTCTCTCTGGAGGAGTGGGAACACTTGGACTCAAATCAGAAGAATTTATATGGGGATGTGATGTTAGAGAACTACAGAAACCTGGTTTGTCTGGGTGAGGATCACTTGTCTTTGTAATATCTAATATCTAATAACTAAGGGTTTTATTTCTTTCCTTTTGTAGAATGTCTCTTGGGAGCTTAAGGAAAAAAAAATTATGGGTTTGTTGGAGAAAAAAATTTCCTAATGTTTGATCTTGGCATTTGCCTTCTTTCTTGAGGTGATGTACAAACTTCACTCTAGTTTAGTGGTGATTCTAGAAATTGAGTCGTGTAAACTCTAATTGCCTACAATTTAAAATCCAGTTCCTTCTCCTTATTTTTGATTCAGTCATACTTGGAAGTGAAGCTCAGGATTCCCATATTGAAAATGCTTCCTGAATATTTTAAAGAAGCTGACAGGAAACAGTATTTGGGGAAGTAATTTTCTAGAATCCTCTATAATGTTCCCTCTTTATTGAGTACCCTACTGAGTTGGCAATTAAAGAACTCCCAGCATGTGACTTTTTCTAATAAAGAGTCTAATAAAGAGTCATGTGACTTTTTCTAATAAAACAGGTCTTACTGTCTCTAAGCCGGACCTGATCACCTTTTTGGAGCAAAGGAAAGAGCCCTGGAATGTGAAGAGTGCGGAGACAGTAGCCAGCCAGCCAGGTAGGCGGGAGTGAATGAATAGATGACATGGGTGAGAGGTCCAGAGGTCAGGAAAGAACCAGACATTGACGTGTGGATTGGGAAGTTCTCCAGTGGAAGTGATTTTTTAGATGCCTGAGTTTATTTCTCTTGCTGTCACAGAGGGACATCTTCTGTCTCATGCTCTGAAATTATCTAATGATTTTCCTTCACCTTCTGTAATCCACCATCAAATTTCACAGTGACAGCCAAAGTGCTTCCCTTGGCCTGTGAGGGCCTGTGTAACCTGACTGCTCTTCCATTGATTTGGGGGCTCTGGGAAAGTCTGTACATATTTCTGCCTCTATGTGAAACCACTTTTAAAGTTCTGTTTTTGCCTTGCCTCATGTCAGAAGTGTGTGAGGGCAGTGATGGACAGTGGGATTTTTTTTTTTTTTTAAGAAGTTCCAGGCATTCTGTGGACAGATGTCACGTATTTTCTGATATTTGAATTTCTAATCCTACAGTGGTTTCCAAGATGATCCTACAAAAATTGAGACTCAGTAATTTCATTAGAGCACGAAGCATCTTCCTAAATATAAAAAAAAACTGATCATGTATTTCACTTCAACTTTTCATCTTTCCTAGCCTAGACTCAGATTAGAAATATAAGCTCTACTTGCACAAATTCCACAGATATAAAATCATTTAATATGTTACTTATTATGTAGAATTCTTAACTAAATGAATGTCTTTGGGGAGCTTGGAACGTTGCCCAGTATATAGTAACCTCTCAACTCTTAACCTTATAAGTTAATAGTATTTTATAGTTTTGTCTAGTTAAGTGTGAAGGTTGGTGATAATATATTCTTTATGTTCATTTTCTTTCTTTTTCTTTTCTTTTTTCTTTTGCTTCCTTCTTTCATATGGATTTTTTTCCCCACACTTGTAAATTATATATATTTAAGGGCTACATCCTGATAATTTGATTTTATATATGTACATGTTGTATAATGATTAATACAATGGAATTAATTAAGGCATTAATCATCTCATATAGTTGCCAGGTTTTTGTGGAGAGGACATTTAAAATCTACTGTGTTAGCAAATCTCAAGTATACAAGAGTATTGTAAACTGTATTCACAGTGCTATACATCAGATCCCCAGAATTTGTTTATCTTTTAAATGAAAGTTTGTACTCTTTGACCAGAGTATCCCTATTTTTACCACCTCTCAGCTATAGGGACCTATTGTTCTACATTTTGCTACTATGAGTTCAACTTTTTAAGATTCCACAAATAACTGATGTTATACAGTATTTGTGTTTCTTTATCTTACTCATTTACCATAATGTCCACCTGGTTCATTCATCCTTGTTGTCAGAAATGGCAGGATTACCTTCTTCATTATGCTGAATAACATTCCACTATATATTTTGAGTAATCAGCTATCAACATAGGGTTACAGATATCTCCTTAACATACCGATTTTATTTATTTTTGAGATGGAGTCTCACTTTGTTGCCCAGGCTGGAGTGCAGTGGTGCCATCTTGGCTTATTATAACCTCTGCTTCCCGGGTTCAAGCGATTTTGGTGCCTCAGCCTCCTGAGTAACTGGGATCATGCGTGTGTCACCTCGCCTGGGTAATTTTTTTCTATTTTTTTTTTTTTTTTTTTTTTTTTTTTTTGAGACAGAGTTTCGCTCTTGTTGCCCAGGCTGGAGTGCAATGGCGCGATCTCGGCTCACCGCAACCTCCGCCTTCCGGGTTCAGGCAATTCTCCTGCCTCAGCCTCCTGAGTAGCTGGGATTACAGGCACGGGCCACCACGCCCAGCTAATTTTTAGTATTTTTAGTAGAGATGGGGTTTCACCATGTTGACCAGGATGGTCTCGATCTCTTGACCTCGTGATCCACCCGCCTCGGCCTCCCAAAGTGCTGGGATTACAGGCGTGAGCCACCGCGCCCGGCAATTTTTTTCTATTTTTAGTAGAGACGGAGTTTCCCCATGTTGGCCAGGCTGATCTCAAACTCCTGGCCTCAAGTGATCTGCCTGCCTTGGCCTCCCAAAGTGCTGGGATTATAGGCATGAGCTACTGCGCCTGCCAGATTGTGTTTCTTTTAGGTATATACTTAGAAATGTGATTGAAGGTTCATATGGTACTTCTATTTTTAATTTTTTGAGGAGCTTCCATCCTTTTTCCCATAATGGCTGGATCAATTTACATTTCCACAACAGTGTATCAGGTTTCCTTTTCTCCACAGTCACCGACATTTGTGATCTCTTGTGTCTTTGATCATAGCCATTCTAACAGTATGAGGTGATATCTCATGAGGTGATATCTCATTGTGGTATCTCTCTGTAAATGTGAGGTGATGTCTCATTGAGGTTTGATGTGCATTTCCCTGATGATTAATTATGTTGAGCACCTTTCTTAAACCTGTTTGTCACTTGTATGTCATCCTTGGAAAAATTTCTAATCAGGTCCTTTGCATATTTTTAAGTCAGATTGACTTTTTTTGGCAATTGAGTTGTGTGAGATTCTTACGTATTTTGGATATGAAACTCTGATTAGAGTTTCTCCCAGTCCTTAGGCCGGTCCTTAGGTTGCTTTTTCATGTTGTTCTTTGTTTCCTTTGCTGTGCAGACACTTTTAGTTTGATAGAGTCCCACTTGTTTTTGTTTTTTGATTTTGTTGATTGTGCTTTTCTGGTGTGAAATTTAAAAAATCAATACCAAGTCTGATGTCAAAGAGCTTGTTCCCTATGTTTCTTCTAAAAATTATACAGATTCTGGTTTTACATTGAAATGTTAATTCTTTTTCAGTTCATTTTTATATATGGCATAAATGTTCAGTTTCATCTTTTTGCTCATGAATAAATATTCACCTTTTCCAGCATCATTTATTGAAGAGACTGTACTTTTCCCTTTGTGTATCTTGGTGCCCTTGTCAAAGATTGCTAAGTGTATACACATGGGTTTATTTTTGGTTTCCTTATTCTGTCCCATTGGTCTATGTGTCTTTTTAGGTCAGTGTAATAGTCATGGTTAGTATAGCTTTGTAATAGTTTGGAATGAAGACGTGTGACGCCTTCAGCTTTATTCTTCTTTCTTATGATTGTGTTGGCTATTTGGAGTCTTTTGTGGTTTTATAGAACTTTGAAGGCCAGATGCAGTGACTCATACCTGTAACCCCAGCACTCTGGAAGACCAAAGCAGGTGGATCACTTGAGGCCAGGAGTTCAAGACCAGCCTGGCCAACATGGTGAAAACCCCACTCTGTCCCCTAGGCTGGAGTGCTCACTGCAACCTCCGCCTCCCGGGTTCAAGAGATTCTCATGCCTAAGCCTCTTGAGTACCTGTGACTAGAGGCATATGCCACCAACACCCAGTTAATTTTTGTATTTTTGGTAGAGACAGGGTTTCACCACGTTGGCCAAGCTGGTCTCAAACTCCTGGCCTCAGGTGATCTGCCCACCTTGGCCTTCCAAAGTGCTGAGATTACAGGTGTGAGCCACTGTGTCGAGCTTTTTAAGTATTAATTCTATGTGGTGAATTGCATTTATTGATTTCCATACATTAGGGCATCATTACTTTCCAAGAATAAAGCCTAGTTGATTGTGGTAAATTAACTTTGGGTGTGCTGCTGGATTTTGTTTGCTGTTATTTTGTTGAGGATTTTTGTGTCCATGTTCATCAGAGATATTGTCCTGTAGTTTTCTTTGTTCATTGTGTCTTTGCCAGATTTTGGTAACAGAATGATATTGGCCTCAAGGATGAGAGGAGAGGATTCCCCTTTCCTTATTTTTTTGGAATTGTTTCAGTAGAATTGATATTAGCTCTTCCTTATACTTCTGGTATAATTCAGCTGTGAATCCATCTTGTCCAGGGCTTTTTTATGGTTGGTAGGTTTTTTATTACTGATTCAATATCAGAACTTGATACTGGTTTGTTCAGGGTTTCAGTTTCTTCCTTATTCAATCTTTGGAGATTGTGTGTTTCTAGGAATTTATCAATTTCCTCTAGCTTTTCAACATTATGTGCATATGAAAGATGTGTGTGGTCTGTGGTTGGTGGGTGGTGGAGTTCTGTAGATGTCTGTTAGGTCTAATTGGTCTATTCTGTAGATGCCTATTAGGTCTAGTTGGCCATGTGGAATTGATGTCCAAAATTTCTTTGTTCATTTTCAACCTCAATGATGTAGTGATGTCCATGGGGTGTTGAAGTACCCCACTGTTATTATATCGCTAATTTTTTTCTCAGGTCTAGAAGTACTTGTTTTATGAATCTTGGTGCTCCCAAGTTTTGTGGATAGGTGTTTAGCATATTTAAGTATTCTTGTTAAATTGAACCCTTTATCAGTATGTAGTATATCCTTGTCATTTTGTATGGTTTTTGTCTTAATGTCCTCATTTTTTAAATGAGAGAGAATGCCAGGTGCAGTTGCTGGTGTTATCCCAGCATATTGAGAGTCTGAAGCTGTAGGATTCCTTGGGACCAGGAATCCTTGACCAGCCTGGGTGACTTAGCAAGATCCTGTCTGAAAAATAGTTAAAAACGTTATTCTGATGTGATGGTGCCCTCCTGTAGTCCTAGCCACTTGGGGAAGTGAGGTGAGATGACTGCTTTAGGCCAGGAATTCAAGGTTCCAGTGAGCTATGATTGCACTCTGGCCTGGTGACAGTGCAAGACCTTGTCTGTAAGACAAAGATACTTTAAATTATTTTGTAATTAGTTAATAGATTTCTATTTCTCTAGCTTCACTTGCATATTAATATGTTAGTTAATAGATTTCTGCTTCTTTAGATTCACTTTAATATTGGTCCTTTGATTGGGCCTTGTTTTTGGTTACTTTGATGCCTTGTGGTTTTATTGGCATTTTGATCAATTAAGAGAGCTACCTATTCCATCTTTTATGGAATGAATTTGTATATTGGAAAACTGATACCCATTAGGCATTCTAGTCATTCTGGGAGATTTTTCGAACTGTTGTCAGGATGTGTCTTTTCTGGACTACGTGTGTGTATTTTCCTATTAAAAAGATTTGCATTTTTTCTCTTAAGAGCCTTTAATCTCTCCCTTTGGTGAGTGTCTCTCTGTTGTTGTAATAAGCATTCGTCTTTGTTCTCTGTTGACCTGACATGTCATTTCAAGTTTATCACCATTTTCTTCAGCATCACATATTAAAGGAAGCAATGACCAGTCTTTAGACAGCCCCAGAACAACCCAGAACTTTGGGCATATGTTTCACTCCTTTTTCTTTTTTTTTCCCTGAGGGTAAAACAGAATATGAAAGTTTTTGTATAACTGCATTGTGCTATGGTGCACAAATACAACAAAGTTTCTTTCTTCTAAGTGTGACCATTCTTGGCTTTGAGTTTACCTAGGTGCTGCAAACTCAACTGGCTTTAGTTACTCTGTTGTATTTAAGTTAACATATCAACTGAGAAAACAAAGGGACCTCAAGTTTTTGATTCAACTATCATGGTGTTCTCAACTTGGTATAATTTTGTATATTAGATTTATAAAGGATTTTCACCTAAATTTAGATGTTGGAATTTTCAAAACTTTTGGTATCTTTCAGATGTGTTTTCTCGTGATACTCAAGACTTCTTGAGAAAGAAGCACATAGAAGCATCTTTCCAAAAAGTGATGTTAGATGGATATGGGAGCTGTGGCCTTCAGAATTTACACTTAAGGAAAGAGTGTGAAAGTGACGGTAAGTGTGAAGGTCACAACGGCTGTTATAATGGACATACAAAATGTAGGACAACTACCTATAACAAAAACATCAGTGTACAAGAGGTCAAAAACGTGAAAAAACTCAATCTATGTCAGTTGTTTTTTCTAAACCATGTGTTTCTGTAACTAAATCTCAACATCAATTTTTGAAACATACCTTTTCTTTGAAAGGAAATCTGAATAGTGACTTAGTCCATGTTTCAAATAATCATGTGAATCAATTAAAATATAGAACCGGAGTAAATTATCAGTCAAATATTTTTGAAAAGGAGAGATTTAAAAATGAAGAGGTGATTTCTAAATACAATCAATTTGATGGGTCCTTTGTTAAAAGTTTGTTTCACCAACAAATAACACCTTGTTCTGCCTGTGATCAATATAGGAAGGTCTTCATTCATTCATCATTGCTTAATCAATGTCAGGGAATAGATAATTTGGGAAAAAATCACACATATAATAAAACTTAGCCTTTAAACAGGACTCTACCATGAATAATTACCAGAATATTTGTATTGCAGAGAATAATCAGTACAATAAATCTGATACAACAGTAAGCCGAGGCATAAGCCCTAGAAGACATCAGAAAACTCATTTCCTACAGAACCATTACAAATGTGAAAAATGTGAGAAAGTCTTTCATGAATATACCAACCATATTCATCAGAGTATCCATGTTCAGGAGAAGTCTGCCAAATGTAAAAAGTGTGTAGAAACTTTTATCCAGTCATCAAAAGATACTCAGCCTCAGAGAATCCACACTGGAGAAAAGTCACACAAATATAATAATGGTGAGAAAATTCTTAGTAAATTCTCAAGTCTAAGAAAACACAAGATAATCCATGATGAAGAGAAACCTTACAAATGTAAAGAATGTAGCAAAGCCTTTAACCATAGTTCACACCTTACTCAACATCAAAGAATTCATACTGGAGAGAAACCCTACAAATGTAAGGAATGTGGCAAAGCCTTCAATTCTAGTTCTTATTTTACGAGACATCAGCGAATTCACACGGGAGAAAAACTTTACAAATGTAAAGCATGTAGCAAATGTTTTACTCATTCTTCAAATCTTCTTGTGCATCAGAGAATTCATACTGGAGAGAAACCTTACAAATGTAAAGAATGTGGTAAATCATTTAAAGAGTCTTCAGCCCTTGCTCAACACAAGAGAATTCATACTGGAGAGAAACCCTACAAATGTAAAGAATGCAGCAAAGCCTTTAACTGTAGGTCGTATCTAACTAAACATCAGAGAATTCATACCGGAGAAAAACTTTACACATGTAAATCATGTAGCAAATCTTTTTCCCGTTCCTCAAGTCTTATTGTCCACCAGAGAATCCATACTGGAGAAAAACCATATAAATGCAAGGAATGTGGCAAAGCCTTTAATTGCAGTTCACGCCTTACTCAACATCAAAGAATTCACACTGGAGAGAAACCCTACATATGTAAAGAATGTGGCAAAGCCTTTAACTGTAGTTCATCACTTACTAAACATCAGAGAATTCATACTGGAGTAAAACTTTACAAATGTAAAGCATGTAGCAAATCTTTCTCTCGTTCCTCACGTCTTGTTGCGCATCAGATAATTCATACTGGAATGAAACCATATATATGTAAGGATTGTGGCATCTCCTTTAACCGGTCTTCAAACCTTAGACGACATCAGATGATTCATACTGGAGAGAAACCTTACCAGTGTAAAAAATGTGGCAAATTATTTAATCGATGTTCAACTCTTACTCGACATAAGAGAATTCATACTAGAGAACCTCTGTAGTTGTAATAAATGTGGAAAGAGTTTTATCTAAAATTGAGAACTTAAGAATCACCATAGAGTTTATAGGAAAACAGACTTTACAGATTAAATTATTATGCAGTCAGCACATTATTTGTATTGAAAACATTTGAGATTTGTTTAAAGCAAACAATAATTCAATTCTCAAATTAGGTGTTATACCTTAAGGTCTAGCGTTTATATAAAAACATATAGTCTATTTTTTTCTGCATCAGAGCTATGAGAAGTCCTTCTATGATAGGTGAACATCATTAGCATCAATTTATTTTCATGGAAGTTTAATGGCAGATGTAAAATGCATGAAGAAAATCTAAAGAAAGATGCTCTTTGTGTTTGAATTATAAAACAGTAATGTGTGTAAGCATAAGTATGTATTTAGGGCATTATTAAGTGGAATATTCTGAAATTATTTATTACATCAGTTGTTCCTTAAGTAGAAAAAAACTGATCAGTTATTTAAAATACTGACATACTTCTGTAGTACAATATAGTAGTAATTTTGAATATTATTTGACATGTTAAAAATAACGTCTTCACAGATACCAGAGAAAAGTGAAAATTCATATCTGAAAGATCATGAATATACTTAATATAAATTTTTCAGAGGACTTAAACTTCCAATAATATTGATAATATTCTCATAGTAACTATATTGTATTTTTTCTGTTACTGTATTATATTTCTGCTTTTTGTAGCTACTGGTGTACTATGACAGTTATAATAAAGATTATATGGGAGTATACCTAAAATCCATACTTTTAAAATCCTGAATCACTGTTAATGAAATTTTATTAAATATTTTTCTTTGCATATGCCCTTTTTCAGTGCAATTGAACATGTAGAGGTTTTTCTTGGCCTTAACTTGCATTGAATGGAATATACAGATGTATCAAGATAGAAAAAGGTGTTATACAGGCAGAAATGCATGTGTGTGTACCTGTCTTCAAATGGAAAAGAAAATCATGGATCACAACCGGAAATGTGAGAACTGTTGATTTACTACCAAACTAGAAACCTCGCAAATTCTCAAAGCAAAGTCAGTTTCTCTGTTGTACACTGAATTTTTCCCTCGTAAATCTAATGTCTTCTGGGTTCAGACCATCCCACACAAATCCTTTTTTCTTGCCTATGATTTATGTAAGAATAATGATATGATTTTCTTATAATTGTTGGCCAGGTACAGTGGCTCATGCCAGTAATGTCAGCATTTTGGGAGGCTGAGTGGGTAGATTACCTGATGTTGGGAGTTCGAGACCAGCCTAGCCAACACGGTGAAACCTCATCTCTCTACTAAAAATACAAAAAGTAGCTGGGCATGGTGGTGCACATCTGTAATCCCAGCTACTGAGGAGGCTGAGGAAGGAGAATTGCTTGAACTTGGGAAGCAGAAGTTGCAGTGAACCAAGATCACACCACTGCACTCCAGCCTGAGTGATGGAGTGAGACTCCATCTCAAAAACAAAAACAAAAACAAAATTAATGGTGCTTTGATATTAATCTGAAGACATTAGTAACTCTACATTGATCTACTTAGTTACAATACAAAATTCTGACCATTTAGTTGCAGTAAAAGTAGTGTGAAAGATGAATAAAAAATCTTGAAAACGACCAGGACAAAGCAACAGATTACATAAATAGAGAAATGATATAAGTGCAATATTAATATATCATAAAAAGTAATAATTGTAAATGATGATTACATTTTTTAAGTTCAGATAGGAAAACCTAATATCAATACAAGATTCTGTATTCAGCAGAATTCTTTAAAAAAATGAGATCAAGCCACAGTGAGATATCACACACTTGTAAAAATGGTAACAAAATTGGAATTATGTGAATACCAAGTGCTCATTAGGACTTGGAGCAACTCAAATTAGGAATACAAAATGACATAGTAACTTTGGAAAACAGTTTAACCTTTTTTTAATAAAGTTAGTCATAAACTTATTATTTGAACTAGATATCCCAACCCTAGGCATTTATTATACAAAACTGAAAACTAGTGATTAACACCTGTTGGTGGATATTTGCCAGTATATTCATATTTGCAAAATGCTGGAAATAAATATTATGTCCCTCAGTAGGTGAATGGATAATAAACTGAGATACGTCTATATGAAAGAATTGTGTTGTTAATAAAAAAGAACAAACTATTGATCTCCACTACTACATGTATGAATCTTAAATACATTTCTCTAAATTAAGACTATTGATCAACAAGGCTATATATATGATTCTATTATATGACATTGCATAAAAGATTAGAGGGATGGAAAAATTATTATTGGTTGCCAAAGAATGGGAGGAAAATAGGTATTGATTACAAAGGGCAACAACAAGAAAAAAATTGGAGAATAATTAAACAGTTTAGTCTGGTACTGTGGAAGTAGATATGTGACTACACAATTGTCAAAACCCAATGAACTGTACACCACAAAGTAAATTTTACCTAATGCAAATTTAAAAAAATTAACCAGGATGCTGGTGAAATTCATATGTAATGCACACAATGACAAATGAATCTCATTGTATTACAAATTAACTGACATCTGGCCGGGCATGGTGGCTCACACCTGTAATCCCAGCACTTTGGAAGGCTGAGGTGGGAGGATCATTTGAGGTCAGGAGTTTGAGACCAGCCTGGCCAACATGGTGACACCTTGTCTCTACTGCAAATACAAAAATTAGCTGGGTGTAGTGGTGCACACCTGTAATCCCTGCTACTGAAGAGGCTAAAGCAGGAGAATTGCTTGAACCCAGGAGATGAAGGTTGCAGTGAGCCAGGTTTGCACCACTGCACTCCAGCCTGAGCGACAGAATGAGACTCTGTCTAAAAACAAAGAGACAAATGATCTGTCATCTACCTGTAGACATAACCCTTCTGAAGAGGATGGGGATAAAAGTTCCAGATCTAAGTCACTTTGAAAACTATTTTGATTTAATGCTGTAAGACTACACAAACATTGTATTATACTGAGTAATATTTTATTTTCCCACAAGGATATGAATTAGATATTTTGAAACTATTTTACATTATTATATAATATATGGAGGCTGTTTTCAGTGTAGTTCACAAAAGTTAAAGGGTGAATGCTAGAATGAATCTTGGGGTCCTAACCTAAAGTTAGAAGCATCAGAATGAACCCATGTTTAATATATCTGAATAGATGGATTGATGGATGGGTGGGTGGGTAGGTAGGTAGGTAGGGAGATAGAAAGATGGATAGATGAACCCATGTCTAACATACCTGGATGCATGGATGGATGGATGGATAGATAGATACATAGATAGATAGATGATAGATAGAATATTCAGAGATAAATAAGAGTTCTAAACTCTTGAGTGCCAAGAAGCAGTGACATCCAGTATCAATGAATGTACCTAGATCTACTGTCTCGGTTTCTAAACACCATTCATTAAAAGGAACCAAGGCTGCATGTAAAAATGGATGATTCTAGGGCTGACACTGGAAAATACAAGTTGAGCTAGAGTATCTTTTAAAGCCACAAAGAAAAAGTGCTAAATAAAATTGATGGGGACTTGTCAAAGGGAGTCAACCTGAAAGACCTCCCAATGGTCCAAACTGTAACAATATGAGCAACAAATAATGATAGCTTTGGATTATGGCCCAGAGAATAAAGTAATATTCACACATCTCTACTGATATAAAAGAGATTAAATACATAAGGAAAGAAGGAAGAAAATCTTAAAGTATTCAAAATACAAATCAATGTAGTTACATAATGCAAAATAAATCAACACTAGAACATCACAGTAATAATTACTGTAGGCAAGATTCCCTGAGGAATTCAAACATTTCAGGAAAAACTTAAACACTAAAGAATATATTTGGGCCAGTTGCGATGGTGCATGCCTGTAATCCCAGCATTTTGGAAGGCTGAGGCAGGTGGGTCACCTGAGGTCAGGAGTTTGAGACCAGCCTGGCCAACATGGGGAGAACCCATCTCTACTAAAAATACAAAAATTAACCAGGCGTGGCAGCAGGTGCCTGTAATCCCAGCTAGTTGGGAGGCTGAGGCAGGAGAATCGCTTGAACCTGGGAGGTGAAGGTTGCCATGAGCTGAGATCGCACCATTACACTACAGCCCAGGTGACACGAGCAGAAATCTGTATCAAAAAAGAAAGAATGTATTTGCATATTTTAAGTATCTACTGTCTAATATTAATACCTTTTTTCTTAATTTCTTAGACTTGTGACTATTTGAAACAAATTATAACACTATTGTAGGATTTATAATTTGTAGTCGTAAAATTTGTAACACAAGGAATAGGAAGGTAAATGGAACTGTTCTGTAGCAAAGTTTTTATGTTTTATATTTAAGACAGTATAGTATTAACTCTAAAGGTAGATTTGGTCGATATGTTAAAGATTCATATTTTATTCCCTGCAGCAACCACTAAAAAATGCAAAGAAGTGTAACATAAACGCTAATAAAGGAATCAAATATAAAATATATATTTGCACAAGAATATATTTATCTTTTAGTCATGATAGCCCCAAACAAGAAACAACCGAAATGTCCATCAGTAAGAAAATGAACTAATTTTATAGCATTTAGAACAAAATACAGCTCAGGATACAAAAAAACAAGCACACATTCTGGATAAAATTCATAAACCTGCTCAATGAGAGAAAAGTTGGACACAAAATTGTACTTTATGTATTTGTATATTTTATATTTCAGGCAAAATAATCCTATGGTGAAAGAAATCAACACAGAGATAATCTCTGCTTGAGAAAAAAAAATTACCTGGGACAGAAGACAAGTAAATTTTCTGAGGATGATAAAAGTATTGCTTTGAAAAGGGTGAAGTGTATATGGGTCTATTTACTTGTCTAAAAGTTCCATTTAAGGTTTATGCCTTGCAATGTACGTACATCTTCACAAAAAATATCTTTAAAAAGTTAAGCAGGTGGGGATAGGGAAAGGGTTAAAGTATAGATGAAGCAGAAGTGGTACATGATTAGAAGCTGAAGTTGGGTAACAGATCTATATCCCATTTGATTTTTAAGTGTTAATAGCGTTTGTATAAATGTACAATATTCATTTACAACGTTAGCTCAGTATCTTGTTTACCTTTGGACAGGGAGGGAGAGAGAAAGTTATTTTCTGGGCAGGAGTAAAGCTGCTTCCACTCCTCAGTTATGTAAAGTCTCTGTTACATGAATGTTTCTGTATGCATGTTGTATAGCAATAAAAAAGTTAAATATTACATATTTGCACAACAATCCTAGCTCACTATCAGAATATTGTCAGTGTTTTCTTTTGTCCTGAAGTGGAACACGATCTCTTATGGCATTATCAGATGGGTTTGAATATTCTAAAGTATCAATGTCCTGATCTTTTGGACACCTCTTGGGTCTTTCCATTTTTGCCTTAATTTGGTAAGTGGCATGGTTTTGATTTTTTGAGATGAAACTTTTCCCAGCAAAGTCTTTTCCCCGCAGTGATGCTCTGAAGGCCAGGACACCTAGCACAGGACCCTGGGCACAGTCTGCACTCAGTACACGTGGAGCATGTTGATCAGGAACAAAAGGAGTAGCAAAGGTCAGTTCCTGCAAAAGATGAGTAGATTTAATACAGGTATGACTGAAAGGCGGCAGCTCAGGGGTAAACATTTTATATTCATTCAAGAGACAATTTGCAACTAGTACACCAAAAACATTTGGCTTAAAGCAGTACTTTGGGGGCTTGGCTACACTCTGTAATCACCCGGAGAACTTTAAATAATACTGATGTCTGGATCCTACTCCAGGGATTTTGATTTTATTGGTCTGTTGCAATTTAGATTTTAGGACTTGTAAAACCCCTGCATGTGACTCTAATGTGGAGTCAGGGGTGAGACCCACTGTTTCAGGGTGAGGAATGCGTTAGCTGTGTGTGATATCTATGTGTGCTGCAGGTATTTGCCCTATGACTACTCCTGTATTTGGAGTCTTGGAAATTGCAGCAGTAGGGAATGTCTGTCTACTGATCTGTTTTTTATATTACTTGCCTTTAAAGTAAGAGGCTATTTCAGGCTCAGTAATTTGATTTAGTCTTTGTTGAAAGCATAAATAACTGGAACATACTAAAATGAAAAGAATTTGCAAATGTGAGAATTTGCAAAGATGTGGAGTGTGTTCTTATATGTTTTCCGATTTCTCTGTTGATAAGAAATGAATAATGTTGGGCCTTGACGTCCAAAGCTCAGTTCTCAGACACTTTCTCAGATTATTTGAAGACCTTCCAAGTTGCGTCAGAAGCATTGTCCAAAGGAGATTATTCCCAATAGTGAAGAGTAATAGATGGATGAGAATGTCTAAGGAATCCTGCTTCTGTTGCAGAAGTGGCACTCTTCAGAACCTCAAGGGCTCATGGAGTTCACGGGTTTGGAGTCAGGCAGAGTTGACCCTGAGTCCCATCCAAGCCTCTTAATAGACTAGTTACTGGACTTGGAGCAGTTATGCAAGAAAAGGCATAATGATACTGATTGCAGGAAGGGGAACAATTTATTCCCCTCTCTATCCATGCCCTTTGAAATGTGCACTTTTAGCTACTCCCAAGGAGGGAAAGATTCTGTTTATCCAATCCTTGGATCTGACTGGCTTTATTTGCTGTGGCCAATTCATACTCATTGTTCTAGTGCAACAATTAGGCATGTTTTGCTCCTCATGCTAGTCTTTAATTAAAATTAACATATGTTATGACATTTTATTTCAGCTGTGGTTGGATATATTTATTCTGCTCATTATTCTAGTTCACTAATCCTCTTATCGTCTCTGTTTAATTTAGTGGTGACCCTATACCTTGTCTAGTAACTCAATTTTATATTATTTATATTTTAATGTGGCTTTTAGACTTTAGTTTCTTGTTCTTTCCACAAAAATAGATATTGATTGTCTACTTTTCATTGTATTCATTTAAACGTTTTAAATATTATTCCAATGTGCAAAGCTGTCGCATATTTTTTCTTCTGATATTTCTTCTATATTACGTCACTCAGTTTTTCCTTTGGTTTTCACTTTTGGGAGATACCGTATCTGAGGTGTCTGTAGTCATATGATTTCCACTGTTTCTTCCATTTTCCCTGGGAACAAGATGAACATACACACAGATTTCAGATTTGACATCCTTGTGATCAGTCAGTATCTGAAGGAAGCATTTTTTCCTAGTTTGTCTCTGGCTCATTCTCTTTATTTACTTCTGCTCCTGTCAAGTTCTTATACTTTCCTTTAACTCCATTCAGCAACTTAAAGTTTCTTGTTACTTCTTGAGGATTTTTCAGTTGCCTATATTAAAATATTTAATAATATATAGCATTTTTTCCTAAAAGCATAAGTATCCAAAGTGTACATGAGTAAAATATATCAGTAGACATCGTGCCGCATACAGCAGCATCTTATGAGATATCTCATGAGATATCTTCATTCAGAACATTCCTCTCAAATATACCATGTGGTAATAGGAATTCTAAACAGTAGTGTTTTGTTTTTTTTTTTTGATACTTAAAAATTTGTTTTTCGCACACTTCTGAAACTATGTACTTCATGCCAATGAACAGAATTGATCTAGATACAGCCAGACTGTATCGAAAAACAGAATTACTGTTTTTCGATAACATTAAGTTAATATTGATAATATTATTGATAATATTATTTACCTGAATTCAGGTCTTTTGGCTTTAATCACTCTGTATCCTTTTCAGCATGTTTCTGAATTTACAAAAGAATCGATTTGGATTTTACACTTATTCTATAAATTAAAAGAGACAAGGGAAATTTGTGTGTGGGTAGGTAGTACTTGTTGGTTATAATTTGTAATTTCTAGTGTCATTCTAGTTGCCTAGAAAATAGGGACCTGTTGAATTTCTGCTATCAGAAATTCATGACATTCTGCTATAAAATTCGTGACATTGTTAGGTATACACTTCACCTTTTTTTTTCCTCTCTCTTCTGGTATTGGAATATAACGTATGTCTTCTCTTTACTGGTGACAGATGTACCCATCAAACTTTAATAAACTTATTTAGCATGTTTATGTTCATTTAATTGCTGTACACCAAAACATTTTATTTTTATTGTGGTCTTAATGTTATATGATTGTAAATGGGTCATTTTGTTATTTTTCATGAATTTCTGTATTATACACATTTCAGGAATTAAGTCCATGTGTAAATGGCTTAGAATAATCCCTAGCACATTGTAGGGGCTTCTAAGTACTAACCACTCTGCTTCATCTAATTTCTATTTGTTCATACTATTCTTCATTTACTGAACTATTTTGTGTATGTTATTCACATTTATTTTCCTATGCTCTCTAAATGTTTATTAAAAAGATGAGGTAGGCTAATGTGTCATATTGATAAAATTCAATGTCAAATGGCATGCTTCACTGTTTTCCTTTAGATGGAATAGCTTTTTTGACTCAATGAAGTTTTAGTTATATTCTCAGTCCTACAACAGATGAAGCTTTGGGTTATTCACTGATTGTCCCCAAACTTCATTCACCTACATTATACTTCCTGAGTCTTTTATGCCAACTGCCTAGAAAATCTAGTTTAGGTTTGTACCTCAAAGTTTCTCATGAGCTGTGGTCTCAACTATGGCTTAACTGGGGAAGGATAGGTTTCCAGAGCTCAAACTGATTAGTTGTGGCATCATTCAGTTTGGAATCAGGCCTAGGTTCCTTTCTGTTGTTCAGGGTATTCCCTCCATTCTTTGTCACACAGGCCTGTAAGTAGAGAAGTTCAAATCATTGGAGCTTCCTTCTACATAGAAAAGTATATGCCACGAGGGGTGGGGTAAAGAAGGAAGGAATTAAGGGCACCAGAGAGAGAAAGTAAGAGGTAACTGACAATATTTTAGTAATTAAATCTTGGAAGGGGCATTCTATATCTTTAGTTATGTTCTTTTGCTTAGAGGTGAGTAACTAACCACTTACTGGTTACAAAGGGTGTGAATACTGGAAAATGGGGATCTTCGTGAACCATCATGTAGACTGCTCAACACAGAGGCCAAGGGGAGACAAATGGACCTGATTCTAAATAGAACGAGAAGACCTTGGAAGGTTAATTGCCTCAGAATGACAATATCAAAAGTTTATTTAATTTCAACTCCCTTATGCTGGATCTTGAAAAATGAGACTAGGAGGGGAAGCAATTTTCCCAACATGCAACTGATAAACCCCAGGCGTGTCTGAATTGTCCCACCACATGTAAGTTTTCCATCTCTGTGTTTATACATTAGCTACATGTGATACCAACTCATGACCCCTTGTATTAATTCACATACCCCTGATGAGTTCCCTTAGAATTAGGTAACTCCTGATGAGTTCTCTTAGAACTGGGTAATTACCATGATCTCCATTGCACAGGTTGGGAGAGTATGGATTCCCTGAGAAGCACAATGACATATCTAGGATGACATAACTGGTCAATGTATTAAAAGGAGGTTCTGACCTAGCTGTCCTCAACCTATAGTCCAGGCTTCACTGAGTCTTCTCAGAGGCTGGGGGAGAGGGGTCTGTGTTTGCATAATTGTGTGCAGGTAATAAAATAACATGGGGAAGGAAGATGAGCAGTCAGCATCCGAGAGAAGCCTTTGGGTAGGTCTTAGTAAGAGAATGATGAAAACTTGAAGAAGTAGCCTCACTTCCTTGGTGAAAGACCCCAACAGAACTTAGAACTTTGATAACCAGGCACTGAGATTTCTGAAGACAGTCTCCTATCAAGCTTAGTTAACCAGAGACTGTCAAGAGAGCAAGATGTTCTGCTATATCCCAACTTTTCAAAGCTCTTGCTTCAGTGAGAGTCTTTTCTAAAGATGCAGAATTTGCCTCAGCTCTTGATCTCTCAACATCCATGCTTCAGGCCATTTGGGAAGAGGTACCCCAAAGTAACCACAGGGTAGCCCTTTCCATGCCAGTCCTCGAGATCCCATCTGGACAACCTCATCCCCTCTCCTCATCACCATATATGTGTGTAGGGGTGGGGAGCAGAAGGTGAGGTGAGGCTCTTCCTGGGAAGGAGCAGAACTCCTTGTTAGGTGCTGGAACTCTACTGCATTCGTACCCCAGGTCATGACTGGCAGGATGGGAAGGTGAGTATTGGGGATTAAGCTTGTTTGCTCAGATTTGATTCTGAGCCCTCAAGCTGTCATGTGGTTTTTGCCGTGGCTGGAAGTTCATGGAGATGCTCCTCTGTTTCTGACCTAGAATGTATCACTTTAATCAGAGTATTTCCTTGTGGGAACAGCCAAGCAGCCCACTAAAACCTCTCAATCAATTTGCTGGGTACTCTATTTGCAGAATTCCATGCAGGAGATCAGTGAAGAGCTGTTTGGTAGGTCCAACTCTATCTCCTTGGACAAAAGACAGTAGCAACACGTTATCAACCATGGGTCACTGCTGGGCAAGCATGAGAGTGAGCACAGAAGGGTCAACACAGACAATAGCCTGAGATGACCAGGGTGGGCCCAGGGCCCAAACCTAGTACAGAGACTCCCGTGGGCTCTGTCCTATATTTTGCCAGTTTAGTGGCCAATAATCCCATTCCCAAAGGAATCTGGCCTCCATTAGTCCCCAGTGCACCTGACGTGGCTAGGTGCAAAGTCCCTGTCCACATACTTCTAAAAATAACAGAGAAAACACTTTTTCATTGTTTTTACTTTACAATAGGCCATGAGTATCTTTGCATGTTGTCCCTGTGTTTGTTGTTTTAACTTTCTCCAAGTATTCTATGTAGCAGTCAGCTCCACTGCTCTTCCAGACCTCCCACCATTACTCTAAATTGGGTGGTTTCTAAAGGAAAAGGAGGGATTCAGGCTCTTCTAACATTTGTCTATAACTTTTAGTCTCATAAAACATATCATCTTGCATGTTCTTCACATGTACCTCAAAAGCTAAAATGCAATAAAAATTTAAAAAAATATATCATAATAAACCCACCAGGTCAGAAACTGTCCTCCCTTGTCTTCATGATATTCCATAAGTGAGGCTGTTTCCCACAGTGGTGAATCCTTTCTGTGCTGGTGAAGATTGTGATTCAGTTCTGTGCTCATCTCAGATTTCTCTCATTCAGTGACCTCCATTTTTATGTTTTCATGGTATTTGAAGAGGAAAACATTTTAAATTTGGTGAAGCATAGTTTTCTCTTTTTGATTATTCATTGGTGTAAAATCTAAAATATTGTTACCTAATGCAAGGTTACAAAAATTTAATATTCCTCCTAAGAATTTTTTAGTTTCAGCACTTACAGTTAAGTGTATGATCTGTTTAACTTTTGTTCATTGGTTGGTTGGTTGGTTTTTCATATGTGATTTGAGTTAGGAGTCCAGTGTCATTATTTTGCAGACCAGTATCCAATTTTCCAGTATCATTTGTTGAAAAGACTTTTCTTGACTCAGAAATTTCTTGGCCCCTTGTTAAAATCACTTTACCATAAATGCATGTTTATTAATGAAACTTCCTATCTATGTCATAATTATGTCATGATTATGTCATAATTTTGTCATGATTATGTCAGATTGGTCTTGAACTCCTGACCTCAGGTGATCCACCCACGTCATCCTCCCAAAGTGGTGTGATTACAGGCGTGAGCCACTGCACTCAGCCACAGGTGCCAGTTTCTTCCATGCATACATTGCATAGTGGTGATGTCTGGGCTTTTAGTGTACCCATCACCCGAATAGCGAAATTTCTGCCCAATCATTTTTCACCTTTCACTCTCCTTCCACCGTCCGACCTTTTGTGGATTCAGTGACTGTTATTTCACTCTATAAGTCAGTAAGTACCCATTGTTTAGCACCTACTTATGAGATCAAACAGTATTGAACGTTCTCTTCTTGAGTTATTTCACTAAGGAAAGTGGCTTCCAGTTTCATCCATGTTGCTACAAAGACATGATTTCTCTTTTTTTTTACCGCTGAGTATTTTGTGGTATATGTGTACCATATTTAATTTTTTAATTTTTAATTTTTGTGGGTAAACATAGTAGGTGTTATATGTCTATAAGATATATGAAATATTTTGATACAGATATATGATGTGTAATAATCACATAGGGATAAATGGCGATTCATTATCTCAAGCATTTCTTCCTTGTGTTATAAACACTTCAATTATGCTCTTTAAGTTATTTTTAAATGTACAATTACATTATTTTTTATTATAGTCACCCTGCTGTGCTAGCAAATACTATATGTTATTGTTTCTTTTTTTTTTTTGTACACATCAATTATCCCCACTCTCCCACCCACTGGTAACCATCAGTGGATTATGGGATGGGCGGGCTTCTCAGCCTCTGGCAAACACCATTCTACTCTCTATCTCCATGAGTTCAATTGTTTTAATTTTTAGCTACCACAAATAAGTGAGAACCTGCCAAATTTGTCTTTCTGTACCTGGCTTATTTTACATAATGTGATGCCTTCTGGTTCCATCCATGTTGCTGCAAATGACAGAACTTTATTCTTTTTTACACCTGAATAGTAGCCCATTTTTGTACGTGTACCACATTATTTATACATTCATCTGTTAATGAACACTTAGGTTGCTTTCATATCTTGACTATTGTGAATAGTGCTGCAATAAACGTAGATTGCAGATATCTTTTTAATATGATGATTATCTCCTTTTGGCTATATACCTAGAAGTGGGTTTGCTGCAGCTAATGGTAGTTCTATTTTTAGTTGAGAACTCTCCATAATGTTTTCCATAAAGGTACTAATTTACATTTCCACCAGCAGTGTATAAGCGTTCCCTTCTCTCTGCAGTCTCACCAACATCTGTTGCTTTTAGATATTTTAATAATAGCCATTCTGACTCATGTAAGATGATATCTCATTGTGGTTTTCATTTGTATTTCTCTGATGATTAATGATATTTAGGATCTTTTCATATGTTTATTGGCCACTGGCATATGTTGTTTTGGAAAATGTCTATCTGTTATGTCCTTTGCCCACTTTTTAATGGGGTCACTTGTTTTCCTCTTGTTGAGTTGTTTGAGTTCCTTATAAATTCTGGATATCAGCCCTTTGTCATATGCATAGTTTGCAGTGTTTTCTTCTGTGGGTTGTCTGGTTACTGTATTTCTTTTGCTGTGCAGAAACTTTTTAGTTTAATCAGGTCTACTTCTGTTTTTGTTGTGTTTGACTCTGAGAGTTTTGTCATAAATTCTTTGCCAATGTCTAGAAGAGTTTGTCATAGGTTTTCTTTCTTCCAGAATTTTTATAGTTTCAGGTCTTATGTTTACATCTTTAATCCATCTTGAGTTAATTTTTATATATGGTGAGAGGTCTAGTTCCAGTTTTATTCTTCTCCATATGGCTATTCTATTTTCCCAGCACCATTATTGAATAGGGAGGGTGTCATTTCCCCAGCGTACATTTTTGTTGACTTTGTCAAAGATTGGTTGTTTGGATGGTTGATTGGATGTGACTTTGTTTCATAGCTCTTTATTCTGTTCTGTTGATCTATGTCTATTTTTATACTAGTACCACGTTGTTTTGATTACTGTAGCCTCATAGTATCATTTGAAGTTGGATAATTTGAAGCCTCTGGCATTGTTCTTTTTGTTTAGAACTTCTTTGGCTATTTTGGTTCCATATCAGGATCTTTTTTTTTTTTGGTTCCATATGAAGTTTAGGACTTCTTTTCTAATTCTGAATAAAAGGACATCGCGAATTGGATAAGGATTACATTGAATCTATAGATTGTTTTGGCCAGTATGGCCACTTCTCTTGCCTGATTATGCTAGCAAGGATTTCCAGTACTATGTTGAGTAACAGTGGTGATGATCCAGTTTGTCATGATCCAGTTTTTAAGGGAAATGCTTTCAACTTCTCCCCAGTAAGTATGATGTTGGCTGTGAGTTTGTTATATATGGGCTTATTACGCTGAGAAATGTTGCTTTTAAAACTGGTTTGTTTCGGATTTTTAAATGAAGCAATGCTGAATTTTATCGAAGGCTTTTTCTCCATCTGTTGAGATAATCGTATCATTTTGTCCTTAATTCTGTTTATGTGATGTATCACATTTATTGCTTTGTGTATATCAAACTATTCCTTGCATCTCTGGTATGAGTCCCACCTGATCACAATGCATCATCTTTTTTATGTGCTATTGGGTTTAATTTTCTAGTATTTTGTTGAGGATTTTTGCATCTGTTGAAGTATATTGGTCTGTAGTTTGTGAGTCCTTGTCTGATTTTGGTATCAGGGTGACACTGGCCTTGTAGAATGAGTTAGGGAGAATTCCCTTCTCCTTGATTTTTTTGGGAATAGTTTCAGGAGAATTAGCATTACTTCTTCTTGTGTGTTTGGTAGAATTCAGCTGTGAATCTATCTGGTCCTGAGCTTTTTGCTGTTGTTATTTGAAGTTTGATGGGGAGGGGGGTTGTTTTGTTTTTGGTTTTGGGGGTTTTTGTTTGTTTTGACTAATTCAATCATGCTACTCATTATTGGTTGTTCAGGAGTTGTACTTCTTTCTAGTTCAATCCTGATAGGTTAAGCAATTCCAGGAATTTATCAATTTCGTCTGTGTTTGTGCATGTGCAGTTTTTCGTGATAGCCTCTGAGGATCTTTTGCATTTCTGTGGTATCAGTTGTAAGGTCTCTTTTTTCATTTGTGATTATGTGTATTTGGATATTTTCTGGTTAGTCTAGCTAGTGATTTATCAATTTTCTTTTAAAAGAATGAAATTTTTGTTTATTTTTTCCTTTTTATTTTCTGGTCCCTATTTCCTTTAGTTCTGCCCTGATTTTTGTTATTTCTTTTCTTCTGCTAACTTTAGGTTTGGTTTATTCTCTTTCTGTTAATAGTAACCAAAGTTGTAATGTTAGGATGTTAACTTGTGATTGTTTTCCCTTTTTGATGTAGAATTTAATGGTATAAACTTCCCTGTTAGCACTGTTTTTGCTTTACCTCACGGGTTTTGGTATATTATGTTTTTGTTTGCATTCATTAAAAAAAAATAATTTGTCTTAATTTTTGTTATCAACCCAGTGATTGATCAGGAATTTTCATATATTTATGTAGCTTCCAAAGTTCCTCTTGACATTGGTTTCTAGCTTTATTCCACTATGATCTGAGATAATTTGATTGTTTCAAGTTGATATAATTTTGATTGTTGTAAATTTTTTAGGACTTGTTTTGTGGCCTAACATGTTGTCTCTCTTGGAAATGTTCCATGTGCTGATGAAAAGGATGTATATTTTGCCAGGCACGGTGGCTCAAGCCTGTAATCTCAGCACTTTGGGAGGCCGAGGCGGGTGGATCACGAGGTCAAGAGATCAAGACCAACCTGGTCAACATGGTGAAACCCTGTCTCTACTAAAAAATACAAAAAATTAGCTGGGCATGGTGGCGCATGCCTGTAATCCCAGCTACTCAGGAGGCTGAGGCAGGAGAATTGCCTGAACCCAGGAGGCGGAGGTTGCGGTGAGCCGAGATCGCGCCATTGCACTCCAGCCTGGGTAACAAGAGCGAAACTCCGTCTCAAAAACAACAACAACAACAACAACAACAAACTGCAACCAATCTAATAATTCTATCACCCATTCTAATGAATGAATGACAGTAACATGCACCCATACAGGTAAGTTTCCAAACAGGTAGAATTCAAAATCTACATACAAACAAAGCCATGCTATATGATTCCATGTATATAAGCTAAAAAACAGTTGAAACTACAGGTGAGCTGTACTGTTAGGAGTCTGAGTCATGGTTACTCCTGGGGTAGTGACTGGGAAGGGCACGAAGAGGTGGCTGAGGTCTGACGATGTTCTGTTTTGCAACCTATGTTGTACATGCAGAGAGGGGTTCAGTTTGTTAAAATTTCATTTAGCTGTACAGTCATGGCCTGTGCAAGAATTCCAACTTAAAAAAATAGCTATCATCAATTAAAACACAAAGAGAGAACACAAATGGATTAGTGATTTTTTTTGTTGTTTGAGACTCTGTCGCCAAGACAGCCTTGACCTCCTGGGCTCAAGTGATCCTCTTGTCTCAGCCTCCCAATTAGCTGGGACTTCAGGCATGTAGCACCATGCCTGGCTAAGTTTTGTTTTGTTTTGTTTTTGAGAGGGAGTTTAGCTCTAAATTTTTTACCTACATTATATTTTATGATAACACATTAGGCTAAGCTTCTTTAATTTTGGTGGGGACAGAGTTTTGCTATGTTGGCCAAACTGGAGAGCAGTGGCGAAATCTGGTTTCACTGTAACCTCCTCTTCCCCCGTTCAAGCGATTCTCCTGTCTCCAGGTTCAAGTGATTTTCCTGTCTCCGTTGGGATTACAGGCACCCACCACCATGCCTGACTAATTTTTGTATTTTTAGTAGAGATGGGGTTTCACCATGTCGGCCAGGCTGGTCTTGAACTCCTGACCTCAGGTGATCCACCTGCCTTGGTCTCCAAAAGTGCTGGGATTACAGGCATAAGCCACCTCCCCTGGCCAAGGCTAAGCTTCTTTTTGAAATTTAGCTTCAGAGTTTGACGTCAAAAACACATGTTGTCAGGCATCTTCTATTGCAGTATTTGAATTTTTAGCCATCTAATTCTCTCTAACTACTTTTGAGCATATACAGTGCACAACTTGAATACGAAGAATTGTTACTGTCTTTTCATCTGAAAAGTTCTAAATATTAATTAGTAATATTGCTCAGTGTTTAGGTTTAGTATTTAAAATTGCTTCAAAAACTACTTCAAAATATTGTTAGTAGCAAGGTTAATCTCTATGATTAAAATATTTTACATTCGTTAAAATATTTTTTTTTGACTTTTTAAAGAAGACTTTATTTCCTTGTTTTGCAAATAAAGCTGGCTAAATTGGTTGCTTTCTGGTGATTAGTCAAATAGACCAAATCCCATATCCTCGTCCGACTCCTCCGACTCTTCCTTGGCTTCAACCTTAGCTGGGGCTGCAGCAGCAGCAGCAGGAGCAGCCGTGGTGGCAGCAGCCACAGGGGCAGCCGCCGCAAAGGCAGATGGATCAGCCAAGAAGGCCTTGACCTTTTCAGCAAGTGGGAAGGTGTAATCTGTCTCCACCGACAAGGCCAGGACTCGTTTGTACCCAGTGATGATGGAATGGGGTACTGATGCAACAGTTGGGTAGCCAATCTGCAGACAGACACTGGCAACGTTGCGGACGCCCTCCAGGAAGCGAGAGTGCAGAGTTTCCTCTGTGATGTCAAGCACTTCAGGGTTGTAGATGCTGCCATTGTCGAACACCTGCTGGATGACCAGCCCAAAGGAGAAGGGAGAGATGTTGAGCATGTTCAGCAGCGTGGCTTCACTGGCTCCCACTTTGTCTCCAGTCTTGACCAGCTGCACATCACTCAGGATTTCAATGGTGCCCCTGGAATACAAACTCCCTCTGTGATTACATTATTTCAATTGTTCCATATTGCTGAATAATGTGATTCATAGCCCAGGTTCAATATATGTCCATTAGGCCAAACTTCTGCATTGTATTTTTCAACTTTTTGAATTTTCAATACATTTTCCCTGCTTTAGCTAGCAATAATAAGAAAACGTCGGTGGAAATTTTTCACTTCAGCCACATGACTACCCTGTTTGTTTTATGATTCTTTCAAACTGGCTCCCTTGACTATTTCAAGGCAGCAATTACCACCAACTCCATAGAAAAATGGAAGCATAGGCCCGGCACGGTGGCTTGTGCCTGTAATCCCAGCACTTAGGATGGCCGATGCTGGTGGATCACGAGGTCAGGAGGCCGAGATCATTCTGAACAACAGGGTGATACCTCGTCTCTATTAAAAATACAAGGTGGTGCACATCTGTAATGCCAGCTACTCGGGAGGCTGAGGCAGGAGAATTGCTTGAACCCGGGAGGTGGAGCCCAGATTGCACCACTGCACTCCAGCCTGGCCACAGATGGAGACTCCATCAGAAAAGAAGAAAGGAAAGGGAAGGAGAGGGAAGGGAGGGGAAAGGAGGAAAGGGAAAGGAAAGGAAAAAATAAAGAAAAGAAGAAAAGAAAAATAAAATAGAATAAAACAAAAAAAGAAAAATGGAAGTATAAGTCTCCCCAGGGTCCCTGGCTTCGGCTCCTCCTCGGACGGTGACTGGTTCCAGCACAGCTTCACTTCCCAAGGTCACCCTATTTCTTCTGAACAGGCTAATTGAGATTTTTGCTAATACAGCATATTCTACCCTCACAGGGTCCCGAAAATTCGGCAGTTTTCTTGATGAGGCTCATAATCCTCAGCTGGGAGTCGAATTCTAATGAAAACTTCTTCCTGCAGTCCTGTGCTCATTTCGCTCCACCCACACCACCGCGTGCATTTTTACCTTAACAAGTTTGAGATGTACGACTCTCCTCCCACAAAAATATCACAGATTTCACAGAACTAACTTTCTTTTTAGAATTTAAGGTAAAATGCCCGCTGCTGCCCTCACCCTCGTGCTAGCCTGGGTGGGGAGCACAGCTGCAGGCCTGTGGGGCAGGAGCGCAGGGCAGGGCAGAGAGGGGCTGCCACGCCAGCCGGGGCTCAGACAAGGTGACCAGAGGGCCAGTTTTCAGTGTGTGAAATTTTGAGTGAAGCCTCCAGCCCAAATGAGAAGAAATCTGCAAACAATAACTCCTGACAGTGAGTCTGGAGAGTCATCTGTTTGCATAACATGGAAGGTTCTCAACCCAGAAGTAGCTGCATGTGTGACTCCACTGATGAGGAGTGACTACCGGTTATAGGCTCTGGGTGTGGACAATTTTTATACCTTCCTGGTGGTTCAGAAAAGAGAGTGTCTCTGTAGAACCAGAAGCAAAGAAAGGAAACAATCACAATTGGAATTTTCCTTTTTTCTTTCTTTCTTTTTTTGGGGGGGAGGGGCGGACCGAGTCGCGCTCTGTCACCCAGGCTGGAGTGCAGTGGCATGATCTTGGCTCACTGCAACCTCCACTTCCCAGGTTCAAGCGATTCTCCTGCCTCAGCCTTCTGAGTAGCTGAGATGACAGGCACCTGCCACCACACCCAGCTAATTTTTGTATTTTTAGTAGAGGGGGTTTCGCCACGTTGGCCAGGCTGGTCTCAAACTGCTGACCACAGGTGATCTGCCTGCCTCGACTTCCCAAAGTGCTGGGATTCCAGGCATGAGTCATCCACCTCACCTGGCCTGAATTTTCTTTTCAGACTGTGTAAGACACTTGACTTCCAGGAACAAAAACACAGTGAAAAATAAAATTTCATCTTGGCTTCAGTGGATATTCACCATATCGAGGAGAGTATTCTGTGGAACTTCCTGAGTTGAGCTTTGGAACCTTCCCTGGTACTCTTCTATAACTTGACTGTAAGTATGAGTGGATTCTGGTTGTGTTTCTGTATTGCAGAACAGCCTCAGCCTAAAAGCCGAGGGCGGATTACTTGAAGCAGGATGGGAGTGCCAACAACCTGTGCACACAGCCCAGGAGATCTTTGAATGGCATGAATTCCGTTAGCTCCATTCAGAACCAAATGCTGCCCAGGGGAGGCTGTGGAGGCTGTGGAGGCTGAATGCTGCCAACGTGCAGATGTAGACACAGCTCGAGCACACGAAGGCAGGATAGCCCTGCTCCTTCCACCAGGTCATTGTGAATTCCCCTCTTTTGTGTGTGTGTGTGAGCTGAAGTATCCCTCTGTCACCCAGGCTGGAGTGCAGTGGCACAATCTTGGCTCACTGCAACCTCCGCCTACCAGGTTCAAGTGACTCCTGCCTCAGCCTTCCAAATAGCTGGGATTACAGGTACACACCACCATGCCCAGCTAATTTTTGTATTTTTAGTAGAGACAGGGTTTCCCCATGTTAGCCAGGCTGGTCTCGAACTCCTGACCTCAAATGATCTGCTCGCCTCGGCCTCCCAAAGGGCTATTACAGGCGTGACCCACCGTAACTGGTGGCTATTGTGAATTTCTGTATTTTCTCTGTCCACTCTTCTGTAATTTCTTTTGTCCTAAGACCCCAAGGGAAGGCTCTTAGATCTCACACAAGAAAGAATTCAGGGCGAGTCTACAGTGTGAAGCAAAAACAACTTTATTAAGAAAGCACCGTGGTAAAAGAACAGCTACCTCATAGACCAATCAGGGCGTTCCCGAGAGTAAGAGGAGGAAGGTGCCCATCTCGGTACCACGCTTGTATGTATAGAGGATAAAAAAGATCTTGGGGAGATGTGCTTTGCTACAAGGGTTTGTGATACAGGATTAATTTCTTTAATTACTATATTTTGCAAGAATCAATATTATTATCTTTAAAGCAAAATTAGAAATGCCTTTGTTCTCCAGATATCGGGATATCTGGACACGCCCAAGTCTGAGTATGTTTAAGAAACATTACTAATTTGTTCCCTTAACCATAAACATCCAGAAACTAGAAACTCTAACTTTCCAGGAATGCAGCCCAGCAAGTCCAACCTCATTTTACTAGCCCTCATGGAAGATGGGGTCGGTCTGGTTCCAACGCCTCTGATGCTGTGATTGTGCTTCTTTTATTTTGAATCACAAAAAAGAAGTGTGGTGGCAGCTCGTTGACCCTTTCGCGATTATTCCAGTGAGACATTACTGTTCAGCTCTGGAGAAGATATTGTCAGAGGAATCCCGCATTTCCATCAGCTGGCATGCATGCCTTTGGACTCATGGACAGAGTTCTTTGGATTGTAGCTGAACTTTCAATGTTTTAATCAACATGGATTTGATCTCCGCATGATCTTTTTTGTGAATGCTAATACCATTTTGTAATTTTTTTTTCCATTCTAAACATTTTTCTTTTCACTGCCAACCCTCTGCCTTATGATTTTATTGCAAATCAAGGACCTGCTATTATTTGTGAATTTGCCATCATTTGTGTATATTTTGAAAGGTACAAGATCTTCAAGCACAGTGATCATTTGTACTTGTTTGAAACTTCAGCAGAATAGTTATCTGCGTGCTTTATGAAGTTGCTTCAATAGGAGCCCATGGGATGCCAAAAATTAACATTTCTTTTCTGCCAGGGACTGACGATACTGCTGCTATTAGGGAAAGTTCAGCTGTGGCACCAAGTCACATCATTTTCATAGAAAAAGATTACTTGTAGCTGCTTTTAGAAGTATGACCTTTTGGTATTGCAACAAAAGAAAAGCTCGCATTCATTAAAGAAAAGAAGAATTTAAAGTAAAATGACCAAACCTGGTCTTTAACATCCTGAGGGGCCTGATACATTATTTTCCCTCCAGCTCTGTCCCAGATTCTACTGGTGGTAGAACTGCTGTTTTTCCTTCTTACCTTTTCGAAAAGTTTTTATTCAAAACTTTTATTTTCTTTTATTCAAAAACATAGATTTCATTCAGAAACAGAAGAAACAACAGTAGCATCATATAAATAGCAAACATTTTAAACTCAAAATATTAAGTATAAATTACAAAAACATATAAACAGCAGAATGTGTGAGATAAATACCAAATTGGATACAATTACTCTGGATTAAAAGGCTGGACTTTCAGGTGAAGTAAGAGAGAATGCTGTGCAAAACTAAAGAGAGGAAATATTCGTAAAAATATAAGGAGCATGAACATAGGATCTTCTGAACGAATCAGGAACATTATGGAGGGACAGAATTTTTTTTTTAATAACCAAAGACTAGTTTCATTAAAATAAAGTATAATTATCAAGGACAAAAAGAAAATTCTACAACTTGAAAATGGGAAAAAATAAAGATTAATTCAAAACAAAAAAAGGAGTATGAAGTATGACTTTCTTCTCACCTTCATTGATCATCACTTAAGCTTCTTTATTTCATTAAACTTATGTTACTCTTCTGTGCCCAGTTAATTCCATGTCATTTTTTTATTAATTAATTTAAAGCTACCATTGTTCCAAATTACCAGAGATCCACTTTTAATGCTTAATTTGCCTCTAAACTTCTCCATTGCTACATTAACCAAATGAATATGAAAGCTTTTTGCAAAACATTTAATCAGTAACTGTGGTTTACGATATATGAAAAATCCTTTAAGGGCAAAGAGAGACTCTGGATCTTACACACACTTTGCAATTGACTGCTGAAATGTGGTTCCTAATCTTCTGCAGGAAGAAATCAATCAATGGTCACTCATTGTACAGAAAGAAGACAATCCACATAAATCAGAGAACTATCTGCCCAGCTTAGGAAACTGTATTCCTCCCACAGCAGGCAGAGCCCAGCCTGGGTATCCTGGGATCGCGGCTCATGAGCACAAAGGGGCTGACTGTGGGAAAACAGGCAGTGATCAGTGCAGAGGTGTTCACCAGCCACCAACTGGGATTAGGAAAAAGAGACATGTGTAATGTAAAGATGGAGGAGAGCGAGTAAAACAACACAAAAGTGCTCACCAGGACCAGGACACTCTGGGTGACTCTGGACTCAGGGGAGGCTCTCGGGGAGAGGTTGGTCCCACGAATGCGCTGGACCTGCCGCTTGTGCCTGTGCAGGATCAAAACCATGGAGCCACTGGCCACAGTCGTGAGTCCCAAACACAAAACATCAAGGAATGATAACAAGACAATGTATGATAAATGTGGAATTCCACCTCTTCCGGAACAATATCCATAATCACTGGCCTTTGTGCCATTTACGCTGTTCCACTTGCCAGTCACATGTACAGCAACAGCAACATTTACCAGCATGTTCAGAATCCAGCACAGGACCAGGATGTTGAAGGACCCGGTGTATTTGGGAGCATGTAGTTTGAGCTGTGCACACCTGAGTTCTCTGGGGCTGATGGTGACGGCCTGGAAGATACTCAGGAGGCAGGTGTTGCCAATGCACACACCCCTGCCCACTCTGTGAACATAAAACACAAGTTTGCATCCAGCATCACTCAGGGAATCTTTCAATCCAAAAGCAACCATTGTCTGTGGGATTCCTTTAGAGAGTAAGACCAAGGAGTTGGCTACCGTCAGGTGCTTGAGAATCAGATCTGTGGACTGTAACACACCTCTGGTGAAACAAAGGAAACTATAGTGGTGAAGAAGAAAGAAATTCCCCAGGCATCCGACTATCATCTGAGATAGGAAGATCATGCCTATTGCCAAATCCCTGGAGGCCATTTGTCATCTTTCAGTGACTGGTAATTACATTCAAAGTGAGACAACCCTGCGAGGAAACATGAAGTCTGTTTCACTTTTGCAAATAAAATCCACTATGGTCCACTTACCATTGTTTCCAACTTAGACGTTTTCTTATTAGACCCTGTTTTTTAAATAAGAGTTTTGCTCTAAAAAAAAAACATATACAGCCCCATGAGAAGAGTACTCTGTTACTGTTTTAC